GAAAGAACGAGTTTGATCTCGTTAAAATTTTATTAATACTTTTGCTAATATTATCCATGTGATAGTATGTGATTTGTCAAGTAATGCACGTTTGTACTTGTTCACGCTGTAACGGCTTAAAGGGTAATTAAAATTGTAATTGAGATACTTTATATCTTATTCTTATTTTTTATTTTATTTATTTATTTTCATTCGGACACAGGTCCATAGTTTAATATGTATTATCTAAAAATCTTTGATTGATATCTATTATTTAGGTTTTTTATTGACGTAAAAAAAGCGTGTTAAGAAATCTATCACGTCAATAAAATAAGTGAAACTTGCAGAACATAAGATTTAAAATGTTAAAGAAATAAGAAATACCTACCTATTTCCAATGATGCGTTACACATTAATCATTTAAAGTTAATGGAACCTTAATCAAGCCATACCGATTTGAATAATTAAAGCATTTTGAGAGATTAAAAATAAAACCCGTGTCTAGACTCCATGCCCACGAATACTCCCTTTTCACCCTCAAATGAATTATTGCGATCAAAAAGCATTACTTCGAAATGACCGACTTCATTTTAGGTTTAGTGGAAAAAATATCGATAATATATTTAAGATGAAATCGATATTATAATCGCAGAAATTTGATAGCGGCTCTTTCACTTATTTTTCTTTTCTAACTATGTAATTACGCACCACCTATATTTACGCTTGATATGAAATTATTAGAAATGTTAATCGAATATATTTTTCTGTATTAATATGATCAATCGTTATATAATATTATTTAATTACTTTATAAAAGCTTGCATCTCCATCTTGATGTTAACTCGGTTTTCTTTTTAAAGTCGATTAAAAAGTAAGACGATACTGATAATTATATCTCAGGTATATTGTCTTTCTGAGAACTAAGAATACGGTTTTCTATAACGTACTATACTCTTAACTTATTCGTCTCAAAAACCCTCTTGAGACATGTTGTTTTCGTTATGATAATGTCTTGATAACGCCAAGCTATGTATTTGACACATCTAGTCCTAAAACACGAAATAAAAAAAATAAATACAACGTTTATCCTGTTGCAGAACAGTATACTTCAAAGAATAAATTTTTAGGAAAATAATAAAAAAAAAGGTTGTAAGTGTCAATGTAATATATTGTCATTCATTCATTGTCAATGTCATTTTTATATGTAGTTGGACCCAAGAGATGGCGCTTCTGTCATAATCAGGTTTTTCTTTCTAAAAGAGGTATATCAAGACAACTGCCTAACGGTTACCGGATCTGACATACTATATAATTTTTTTATGAAACCCGTGTTTCAGCTTTGAGTAAAATATTAACACAATAGATAGTTATAGATTACTAGTAGCAGGTCGCAGTTTGTCGGACTGCTTTTCTGCTTTAACTTGACATTGGAAAATATTTTTTTACATACGTACAAACCGCTTTTCTAACCTATACCATCGTTTAAAAAATCCTTTCTTAACCTATGGGCTATGGCATTATAGCAATATGCTCTCAAAATTTCAGCCTGCAGCCAGCGCAGGCCTTGATCAGTGTCGACAGAGATCGTCTTTCAGCGTCATTTGGTCGAAGCTCTCACATTAGATAAACTGTATTTCAGTTTATCTTAAATAAAAAATAATCACCAACTTTTTAAAACTTCAACAGTAATTGAATTGTTTTTCGCATTTCTCATTTTGGCACCTCTTGCTACCTAGTCTAGTGCGACCGCTGCTCTTGCTCTACGGTCTACCCAAGGCCGGCGCTGCCTCCGGTATTTTAGCTTGTAGCTATGATTATCAAACAGACACACAAACAAGCAAACTTTTTGATAGGTAAATCATTTAGATAACTTTACCTAATATAGTTTATCAATAAAGAAATCTCGGAATTGAGCTTCCAATCTTAAATATTAGAACAAAAAAAAACAAAACAAGATAGTCTAATTCTTTTGTTGGTTCATACTTTATTTGTACTACTCAAGCAAACCGGATTTTGATAGACACTGTCGTGTAGATATTTTTTTACCTACACTATTGTGTCAATAGAAACTAGATATTTAAATGAATTGCAAAATGCAACCAAATATGAAAGAAAAAATATAATTTATTAATTACATGAACGTGTTGTATCACCCTTCAACGCTACAGAGGTCAAAAAAGTCAGACATTCACAAAAACTGGTGTCGAATAAAAACTGGCACGAAATCTTATGTAGGTTTAATGCATCAATAGTACAGGTACGATTTTTAGCTTACACACACTACATATACACTATGTAAATTTCAAAACAAAATGAAATACAATACTTTCTTATATTTACGCGAATATCCGAAAAGATAGTTTTATATTTCAAAATGAAATATAAATTTGGAAAGAACAAAAGAATATAATAGTGGTTCGCTTTGAAAACCGAGTGAAGCGAGTTCAAATCCCGGGTCTCGCACCTCTGATATTTCATGTGCGAATCATTTCCAACATCATTACCACTTGTCTTATGGTGAAGGAAAACATCGCGAGAAAACCTGCATGTCTGAGAGAACCTAGTAAGTTTTAAAAATCCACAGATGGTCATTTACTTCTAATGCATGCCACGAAGCTCGATCTTCAGCTCTACGCATCCAACATGGCAATCACTTTTAGCATATCTCACTATCTAACTATAGAGCATCGTACACTACGTTTGCCCTTCATGGTCTCCACTCTAGAACCCGGTCAACCATCGGTTCTGCAACAATTGCGACCATCTCACTGATTCTTCAGCTTGCTTATTCTTTTATTACGTCCTACAAATTACAATCCTTTACCGATAGATTACCTGTACAAAAAACAGTTATTTGCTATACTTGTAGAATAGTAATGATTAAAGAATGTGTAATCATAAGAACTATCAACTTTTTAACTAAAAAGTTACACTGAATTCGAAATGGCTTTAAATTATTTACTTATTTTTTCTTCCAATTTGTTGTATTTCCCGCCCAAAAAGAAAGTTATGTATATCGGCAAAGATAAATGATAGATAAAGGTAGGAGATATAACAATATCAATCCACGCAAATTGAGTACCTCCTCTTTAAAAAAGGATGTAGTGTTTAAAACACATAAAATAAATAATATTACATAATAATCTCTTTAAACCATTTTTTTTGGGTCCAAAGGGTCGGCTAGAAAGTTATCAAAGTTCTTGTGTGATTAAATGTATATAATATGTAGGGTTCCGTATCATAAGATCGAAGGGTCGATCAGAAGCCCAGATTACTAAGCCTGCGCTGTCTGTTCATCCATCCGGCGTATATATTCATGTATCCTATAAAAGCCTAATTTGATCTTTAAAATATTTGTTCTTTACAGAATATTGTATTAAGATGACAGATGTAATAGCAGATAACAAGAAAGTATTAAACTACAGATATCCCCATATTGGAAGTGTTTTAACATTTTTTTTTGTTTTTGTTCTAACTTTACATAAAAAACCGTTCTTAGGTTAGAACAAAAACGCACCAAACAATTTCATTACAGTTCTAATTTTGAATTGTATAAAAAAATACACTAGTAAAATTAATTATAACATAAAATTAATATATTGTGTGATATTGCAGAACCGAACGCGTAACAAAGCAATTGACATTTTGATTAATTAAAAAAAAAAGACACGACCTTGACCTATTAGCAGCATAAATTGTCAACTGTCACTTCATTGTACTTTCATATTATGCTAAGAACCAATTTTATTATATAGTTTTTCTTATTGTTATGAGAACCCTAACTCAATTCATAACACCGATCAGCTGACTGACACGTAATTTGTATTATTATTATGTACAAACGTATATAGAACTGTAGGTATAGAGGTATCTGCCGGGATTCCGCCCGAGACATAGATACTGTGGGAATAAAGCGCTGCAGCGCTGTCGAAAACACATTTACTTTCATTATCTTTAATTTCCTTTTTATGACTAATAACGGTATACGACTATGGCGAGATATTTTACATATTTTATTATTAAAATTAACCTCGTTTATGAATGTTGAAACTTGAAATTATTATTGATGCAAAAATGTTATGTATATTTTTATGTTGTTTATTAATATGTATACATATGTATAATAATTAATATGTATTATCTTTATTTTATTCGTAAAAATTAAAAATATAAATATCGTTTAAATTTTCTACATGTAATTTTCATAGATATACTTGATATCTCAGTATTATTTTATTCATATTGGTAGTGTTTATATTAGTATTGGCTTTATTTAGGTCGCACCATAAATATTACCTTGTTTTCCAAAGAAGCTTAGTAAAATACAATTCTGTGTATATTTTTTAAGCACACAGCACACTATTCTCATTTATTACTGAATACCCAAAGAAATACCTGCAATATAAAACAAGCCGACAACGCGCGTAAAACCTACCTGCCCCACAATGTCATACAAATAGACGGCACACGTATATAGCTTAAAAAAATTTATAAACAAATAAAGGTCATTGTACGTTTCGCATCCGCAAGCCGCTGTAGCGCTGCCGTATCCAATCTCAGCTGAGCAGTCGGACACCTGACGTCGCGCTCCCGCCCGCCCCCCGCGCGCCGCCCGCCCCCCTGCACCGCCATCAGCTGTTAATGTAACCCCCACCCGCCTTTCCCCTTCGTTTGTGTAATGCGAGGAGGCAAGGCCCGAATGGATTAGGATGCCACTACCTATTTTTAATATCAATTCTGTTTTTATATATAGCTCTTAAAAGAGTGATTACAATCTTAATAAAATCCAATGCGTTTGTGTCGACACAATAAAAATCAATGACGTAAATAAACAGCATAACTTCATAATTTTATCGAATGCTGCTGCATGAATAATTTTCGAGGCACACACAACAATTGTCGTTATCACTAGTCTGGAACCCGTAAATGATACTCGCATATCGAAACCCAACCGTTGTTATAGAGTAGAACAAAACAAAAATGCCAACTTTTAATAATATATCGCACATTATGCCTGTCAAATGAATAATTTATCGCAATGTGTCGATTCGGGGCGTACATCCCCCGGGGGGTGTGCGCGGGGTGAGAGGGGACGCGAGGGAGGGAGGGGTACGGCGGGGGAGCGGGGCGGGGCGGCGGGTAAAGCACGTCAGTTTGCGGCGAGCGGCCGAGCGAGCGCCATGTCCACGTGTGCGCCGCGCGCGTGTTGCCGGCCGCGCGCCCCGCCGACGTTGCTCGACATCACAGCTAAGATAGTCGCGGCCGCAATCCCGTTCCAGCGCATAGAGGAGCGCTACGAGCGAATCCCGGAGCCGGTGCAACGGCGGGTGGTGTACTGGTCCTTCCCGCGGGATGAGCGCGACATCTGCATGTACTCATCCCTGGCGAGAGCGCCACCCGACGACCACCGCAACATCGCCTTCTGCCGCGGCCTCAAACTGTTGGAAGCCGGCTGCGTGGAGAACGTCCTCCAAGTCGGTGAGTGTGACCGCGCCTGCGCCTGTTTACTAATACTCGCCTCGCCCACCCGCGCCGTATAAATAAAAACCTCGACGTGTGCGATCGATAGCTGCTGCTTGGGAATTATTCATGCGTTGGGAGATTAGGCCTCCGGAGGATGCTGGCCGAAGATCAGATATGACCGGCCGACCCGCACTCTTTGTACACGTTGCAAGCCGCCGCTAAACTTGTTGGTGCAGTTCGATAACGACCGGTAGGAAATCACGACAAGTAATTAATCGGCATTCATTATCGAGTATCGACTGGTCTGCAATCCGCTGGGCAGCCGATATGTCCGTTTCCTTCGAACGGGAGTGATTGTTGGCACGAATTAAATCTACTTTCGAAACTGCCGCGTGATCGTGAAATTCGGCTATGATTACCATAACTGGATATCCCGTTACATGCATAGGGAATTACTCAACTGGATTCTTTCGTTCGCTGAGCACGTAGGCTCGCACTCGCGAGAGGCGCGCCACATTAGGCCATGCAGACATCGTTTGTTAGTCTCCGTAGTGACTAACGGACGCGAATAAACAATATTAATTACCCGTTTTATTTCCATAGGGTCTGACCCGAGCCCGCTTTTATTATGGCGGGCGTGGGAGGACGTTACATATTCATTTGTGCTTATCTGCCATCAAGATGGCGATTACTGGTCATTTGTGGTCGTTTCGGGTCGAGCCGCGGTCGAGTACGCCACATTTGGACGCCCGAGTCGCCCATAATGTCGGCTTTGAGAAAATACTTAATGCGATAAAAGTTATGGACAGAACGCTCGGTTTTTAGACTGGCTCTCGTCCAAAGGCTAACATGAGATAGCGCTTCCTAGTACATAGTTATACTTATGGCAGATAAATGTTATGTGCTATTTTATTCTTATGTTGATTCCCACACCCATATCTTCTGACTCACAATCTACGATCACTAAGATCCGCCCACTTGATATAAAAACGCTAAAATATGATCCCACCGTTCGAGAGAGGTCTGTTTCATATTGAAATCTAAATTTACCGCAACATAATAATTTATAAGCGATATAGGGTCAAGCTTTCCATAAATTTGGTTATTTGGTTACAAAAACCGGTAAAGTTTCACTAATAAATTCATTAAATATTGCCAGTTAGAATCATCAAAAAATACTAACAAGTAACAACCGAAAAAATCCGAAAATTGCACCTCAAGTCACAGGCAAAACCTAGTATAAAATATCGAAAAGAAACTTATGGCACCATTAGGAGTGGAGACTGGTTACAAAACGAGAAATGTTACATTCGTGAATATGAATAAAAGAACAGGACTGCTTTGCCCCGAAGGTTCAGGCGACCGATCGAAAATAAATCCAATGCTTAAAATCAACGATGCATGTAATGTACATACATACATAATATGTAGATAGGTAACTAATATAGTCTGCCATGCAAAAATAATTGGGGTCGGCTCACAGAAACGTTGTAAATATTTTAAATCAATTTTAATGACTATATCTTTACAAATAATCTACGAGTATATTGATATGAAACTGGTTGTCTTTTGAATCGATAAAGCTTGCATATGATTGAGTCGTAACAAGTTATGTTAAGTGTTACTTTACTTATGCACTTAAACTTTAAAGTTAAACAGAAAATATGAATAATCCATACTAATATTATAAATGTGAAAGTGTGTTTTTTTGTTTGTCCTTGTTTCACGTCGAAACGGATCAATGGATTGGCGTGATTTTTTGTGTGGAGATAGTTGGAGGGATGGAGAGTGACATAGGCTACTTTTTACCGCAGGAGATTATCTAATTTCCACAGGAAAACACGTTATAATACAATCCAAAAAAATTATTATGATCAGAATTACTTAAAACTTGGTATTAATGCTTTTCAATAAAATAAAATAATTCGTATTTTAGCATTTTTCGAAATTCATCCTTTAAGGGGGTAAAATAGGGAATGAAAGTTTGTATGAAACCTACCTTTTTAGAGATTTTTTTGTAGTTTTAGCGCGAGCGAAGCTGCGGGTTCTGCTAGTAATAATATAAATATGTAATATTATTTTGTTATTATTCATATCGTTTTGCAAAAACTAAAACTTCATATATGTGCCTAAATAATTTAAATCTTTTTATATTAAACATATTTATTATATTTTAATAAGTAAGTACTTATTATTTATTGGTATTAGAAAAAGTGTGAAGTTAAGTAGATTATAATTATATTCTATGAATTTAATTCTTTACGTACTTTTTGTTTTTTTGTGGCAAAATAATAGCATTAAATTGTTGTAAACTTATATACTCGTATTATATACGTAATATACTGAATTATACTAGTAAGTAGTTTTTATTTGATGCCAATAAAATTATCTTTATTTATATATTCTCCATCTTTTTTCATTTGAAAACGTCATATAAAAATATATCCCACCTTACTCTCAACAGTTACGACGAATATAACATCTCTCATTTGTTAAAATCCATCAAACCGATTAGGCTACAGACACTGCCAATAAATAGGTACCTACATAATTCAGATCTAAACACAATAAGTACTCTTCTACTAAAACTATCGAAAACAAAATCTACCTTTACATGAGTTCTATTTCAAAATAAGTATATAATTAAATTTAACGCATTCTATACACTTAAGAATACGTAGAAGATGGTGTAAAGAATCATAATTTTTTATGTATGTACGTGTGACAGTTGCGGTTCTCAGAAGGTTCAGTCGAACGTTTTATAGCATAAGCCATGATTCACGCTCGTGATGATCTTTGATATCCTTTAAACCACAAGTTTCTTAGGAAATAAGCTTTGACGGCGTTTTAGTTATCTGAAATTTTCACTGGAAATGCTTGTTTCTGACACGTACCACTTTTTTTCTATCTATAAGAAATTGAAACAATTCCCATGAAATAGAAACGTCAAACGATAACTATTGCGTTATGCATTCACGTATTATAAGATAGATTGGATTTGATAATACTTTAAACTGTTTGGAGACTGCAGCTGTTCTTTCGTATGGTCACTTAATCATATATTTTTGAAATGTAAAATTTATAAATTCTAGTAGCGCTTATCTCTTGTGGTCGTATATAAAAATGCTCAGAGTCCACAAGGCAAGCCTCCATTTTGATTTACACTCAAACTACTATGTTTAGAGTATTACTAGCACTGCCCGCGGCTCCGCCCGCGTTCAGATGACCAAAACACAAATTCTTAGGTTTTACATCTTAGTATACTCCTACATTGCAGTTTTTGTATTTTTCTCAGAAATGAGATATTTTCCTGCGGTAAAAAGTATTCTATATGTTGACCCAGATAATAAGCTATCAATCACCATAGGTACCAAATTTCATCAAAATCCCTCCAGTGGTTTTTCTGTGATGCGGTAACAGACAGACAGACAAAAATTCTAAAAACTATAGATTCAGCCTCTGTATCGATAATAATGTCTATTTCAATAAGATTTTTCAAAAAATATTTAATGTACAGATTCGGCTTAGTTACAATTTTATTATATGTATAGAAGAGTAAAAATATAACAATTTAGCAGTCACTTTCGCCATTATTTATTTATTCGTCATTATTCAATTAACAGAAACATATAAATCGTAAGATCTTTACGTCAAAACCTTGAACCTTTCCTAACCGTACAATTTGACACATAAATCACCATGAGACTATTTGACAGCTCTCAATTATAACTTAAAACATCCAATTCTGTACGCAATTCGGAAAGGTCGAATTGTTTAGCGATAAATTCTTTATTTGTATCATAATTTTTATTGAGAAATATTTTTTATGCACGAATAAAAAGTGAGATATAGATAGATGGTGATTTTATTGCTAACTTAATAATATTAAAATATAAGTATTATATTGATAAAAAATTAAAAAAAACCCTACGCAAATTAATTGTCATTTAACGATTACACTGGCACGCGTGAAGCACTTAATCGAGTAATCATACGCCAAAATGCCCTACATCATTTTGGAAAAGAGATGATACTCTTACATTACTGGACCGATAATAACCAAACATAGCTAAGAACCACCGCAAGGAAGAAGGCTTTCAAATGAAAAAAAACCGCATAAAAATCGGCCCATCCGTTTGAGAGCTTCGAAGCCACAGACAGATACACACACAGACAGACATTGACGTCAAACACCCCTCTTTTTGCGTCGGGACTCGGGGGTTAAAAAGTAACTTGTATCAGCTGCATCTCCGCTCATAAATCGTTGTATAACGCAGCTTATGCTGCTCAGGGATAGTTTAGCTTTCTACAAGAAATACCTAGAATTTTTGGAATCCACTTAATACTTCCAGTCATACAAACAAACAAACAAATACCTGTGTTTATAATATATAGTAAGAGGCAAGATTTAAAGTTTTTAAGAAAAATATGTACGCATTGGAACTCAAATAATACACGTCTCAAATTATATTTTAAATATAATTGTATGAAATAATTATTGATTCCTTACAAGTATAATCACAATGGCTAATGAATGCGTTTACTTAGCTATTTATATAATAATAACATAATCATAGTGTGTCATTGTTTAATTAAGAATATATTTTTAACATATTAAATTATAGTAAGAATAACTATGATATTAGATATAATAAAATCGTATAAATTTACAAAAAATTTAATTTATTTGAAATATTTCTACGATTTCAGGAAACACGAGTCATAAATAAAAGTAAATTAAACCTACATTGTTATTTTATAATTACAGCTACTTAAATATCATAGATAAAAAAATACAATGTATTACCACGGTAATATGCATAACATTACCGTGACCGTATTACATTCAAAATCAAGAAATGCCTAAGTCCAATAAAATATAATCAATAGTAAAGTCCGAATAAAAATAAAATACATAAAAGAATAACAAGAAAAACATTTTATTTAGAATATTTTTAATAAGATTTTATACTTTCTAGATTAGTCTAGACAAAATACTAATATAGTTTTAATAG